AAGGTATAATTAAATAACAAAAAACTTTTTTAACAGGTAAGTTTTTATGGTTATAACTATAATTGTTGACAAAAATTATTTATTTAATTTATTGAAGATTTTAGAGAAAAAAAAACAAATAATAATAACCATTGAAAAGCTATAAATAAAATATTAAATAATTGTAATAATACTTAAGAGAAGATTTACTAACAGCATAAAAAAGTTAAAAGATAAATGTTACTATATTATAAAATCTGGACTTCATCAATTTTTATCATAAAGAAGTATACATGTATTTTTTATTTTGTTTATACATAAATTGATAAATCATACTATTTCTGTTTGATATAAAAGCTTATGTTAAAGGGCTGTAATCTCCATCGCTATACAAATCAAAAATCATGTATTAAAAGCTATTTAAAAAATTTTACAATTTCAAGATATTAAAAAGCCGTTTTAAAAGTTTCTCTGATTTCTCTTTGCATTATACAAAAACCATTGAAACTCTTAAATGTACTTATTCAAATACGAAAAAGGAACTTTATTTAGTTCGTTTGGCATCTAACAAATTATTTCAAAGATCTTTATAAGCAAGACATTTATGTTATTTGTAGAAGCAATTTTAATCAGTCAGTAGATAAAATTGGTGTCACACTATCAAGTTAAAAAAAGTTTAATAATATTTGTATGGATAACAGATGATAACAAGTGAATCAAAGTATACAGCGCATCTTAATTAATGATAAAAAGGTTTTTATTATATTTTAAAGAGATGTAGGAAAAATAGAGAATATCTTTGCTTACTAGTAATTATTACTGTTGTTGAATATTACATAAATTCCGATTTATTCTTACTCTTGAAGAAAAAATTATGCTAACAGCCAGCCTCGTCGACTTTCTTTATTTTTATTTCCTAGTCATTAAAAAGTATACAATAATTTATACGAGGTAAAGAAATACGTACTTCTTGTGAAATTGCATCAAAATACTGTGTTTTGTGGGTATTCATGTATCTTAACTTTGTAAAGAATATGCAAACTTGCCTCATTGGCTAACTTTACTTAACATTTTTAACAACTATATTATTTTATCACAGGTAACTGTTAGCAAATAAGAACATGTATTACGAAATTTGATAA